GTGTGTGTGTGTGTGTGTGTGTGTGTGTGTGTGTGTGTGTGACAAAGAGCCCTTTCAGTGCATAGAGAGAAGACACACAAAGTACCCAAGGATAGGCACCACGCTTTTTTGTCTCTCTTCTTCCCTGTGGCTTCCTTTTCTTTTTGATGAAGCAGTTCATCTCTCAGTCTTTTCTGTCACATTTACCAAAGAAAAGAAAATGAAAGCTCCACTTCCACCCCCAACCCCCAAATTCAGTGTGGCAGGTGCCAGCATTTTGCTATTCAGAGAGTAGTGGTGACTGGCTGTGCTTCTTAGATTTAGGAGGAAAATCATCCAGCCTTCTTTAAAGCATTGATTGACTCCTTACTTAGGCAGTGGTAGCTTACCTACTCCCCCCACCTACTTTTGGTGATAGGTAGTGAGAGTTAAGGTAGGAGAAATTGGTGTGGGGTTTAGAAGAATTTTGGTTTTGAATAGTAGTTAAATGAACAAGAGTGAGACAGACTGACTTGCTGCTTCTCTCAAGTCTGAGGCCACTTTGCTGAAGTCTTTTGAAATGGAATCTGGTCTGTCCAATGATGATGCAGTTTCGCCTTTTTTACTTAAGTAACTGGGAACATGGGAAAAAGAAAAACAGCATTGAATTGGCATTTGCAAGACCACTGAGGACTGAGTTCTGTCTTGCCTGCTTCACTTAACCTTTGGATGCCCATATTCCCTCACTACCAATGCAACTTCAATACTTTCTGCCCTTTGTGTCGCCCCCTCCCTTCTCTGCCTATGGCTACCATGCTTTAAGATGAAGGGACTCATGGATCTTGGAGGAAGTGGTTTGGCTCTCTGAGGTTTGGGGGCACTGAGCTATGAATAGAAGATGTAAAACTAAACTTTGAACCATGTGATGTTCCTCTCAAAGTGGAAGTGTTAATGTTAATATTGGGCTTAATGGTCCATTTTTGTAAGCCAGTAACACATGCTTAACTGATAATGGCAAAATGTAGGTTGGTCTTGCCTTTCCTAGGAGAATAGCTCTTCAACTACTGAAAGCAACAGAATGGTCTCAAGTTTATTCTCTGAATTTTATTAGAAAAGGGTTGATTGATGCTTTAAACATTTGTTTCCACATTGTGTAAGGACACTTACTGTGGAACTTTTTACATTCAAAACTCAGTAGGGTTAATGCGTGTTAGTGTAAGAACAAAGGCTTGTTTGTTAGATGCCAGACCCAGAAAGGATAGTCAGTGCACAATAAACTCATCTTCTTTTGACCAAGTTAAAGAGACTTAATGATAAAGTTGAATGTGTACAAATTCACACTTGGTCTTGCCCTGGGTCCGTAGTTTCCATGTCCATCTGACTTGCTCGAAGTCCTGTTCAAGTAATAGGGTCCAACACAAATGTCATCTCCTCTGTGAAGCCTTCTCCATCTTCTCTCTTCCAGGCAAATTGCTACAATTTTGGCTTCAGACTTCACCAGAAGGCATTATATTTGTTGTGTGATTGTTTCTACTGCATATTGAGAAAAGAACGTAATCTTATTTGTTTCATTTTCTGCAAGTTTTAGTATATATTCAGTGGTTTCATTTACTGGTCAATAAATGTGAGTTAAGTCCTTGGCATGTGCTGAACACCTATTATAATAAGGTTTACATTAGCAATTATAAGAAATATGTAATGGTTCAAAAGCAGTAGACATTTATTCTTGATTGTGTAATAGTCCCAAATATGTGGTTCTAGTCAGTAGTTGGCTTTCCTCCATTCAGTGATTCTGATCCCATGTCTCTATCTTGTAGCATCCATTTTCCTGGTATACTGTTTTTTGTTCACAGATGAGACAAAAGAATGAGTGGAGGGGTGCATCTACCTTTAAAATACTTTGATCTGGAAATAACACCCATCACTTCTACCTCACATTCTTTAGGTGAAATCTAGTTATATGGCCACATTTGATTCCCAGGGAGCCTGACAGCTGTAGGTTAACCCTTCCCCCCACCCCCAATGGAAAAAAAAATGAAGTATTTTGGATAAACAGCTTGTCAGACAGTGCCACTTAACAAGACACACCCACTGCCCTCAGGAAACTTGTAGGCTGATGAGAATTAAATGGACAGTGAGAGCTGACTCCCATGTTTGCTTTTGTTCTTTTGATTTTATAAATTCAGATATTTTCATCTTAGGCAGGTTTCAAAAATATGGCTTTTGTTTCTCAATGAGTAATCCTTTGCTTGCCATACAGTCATCTTGTGCTTGCTGTGTGGACTTTGATGTGGTTCTTTTACTCCAGAAGCACCTTTCTTGGCCTAGTTTTTTTTTAATCTTTTGTACCTAAAGACTTCCAAAGTGTTGAGGAGGAGCTTTAGAAATCACAGAATTACCTTTTCTTCTTTGAGATGTTAAGGAGGTTAAGAAATTGGTACATAACACAACTAGTAAAGATGAAGGATTCACAAGGCCTAATCATCTTGGATGAGGGTGTGAGAGTTGCATATGTTTCCGTAGATTGTAAGGAATGTACTTGCTCACTGTGTGTTCCTGCTTGTTCATTGAAGCAGTTTTCTTTTGTGACAAATATATTTTTAGTTGGGAATTGAATGTTACATCTTTTCCATAGGCACATTTAGGAGGTGAAATTCTTTGTCCTCGTGACCCACACAGCTTGTTAATGGGAAGGCCAGCCACTTAGCCAGCCCAACTCTTCAGCACCACCTGGGGCTTGTGTTGATTGTGACTTTGATCCAGCATATTCTGTTCAGGCTAAAGTGTACTTTCAGATCTCCAGGAGAAGGAAACTGCTAGTGTTCTGAATGATCCATGTTCTCTACTGGACTCCAAGTTTTGTGGGCAAGCATGTCCATCATGATTAATAGTGCAGTTCTTTTTTGCTATGAATACTTCATTATATTCATCTCTTCTATAAACATTAGCTTAGTATGTTACTTTGGGTAAAGAACTGAGGAGCTGGAACTATGGAAAATGAATATTTCTACTCTTGCTGTTCACAAGTCACAGTCTACAAGAGGAGATAATAAGATAATAGGTAATAGCTAACAATTATTATTTGTATGTGCTATGCACCATTTAAATTGCAATCTTAACAATAATGTTATGAAGTGGTTTTACTTATAATCACCACTTTATAGGAGAGAAATTGAAGTAAGTTTCAGTAATTTGTTAAATAACTTACTCAAGATCCTAGAATGCTATAAGAGTCCCGGTCAGGCCCAATTTGATTCCAAAGCCATTGCCCAAAGCCACTAGACAGTATTCAAACTACTACATATATATTTATAAAATGATAATATTAATTAAAATACATATGGGCTGTAAAGAGGGGATTGACTAAAATACTTCGGAAATTGAGACTTCTGTTAATGGGAAACATTAAACATTAAAAAAATGAAGTAAAGTATTTGTTCCTACATTCCATATTCCGTTTAGATTGTCATCTCTAACTTGTTTGGGAAATAAAAGTAGAATAAAACTTGCAAATGAGAAAACAAAGCATGTTGATATTGAAATAGTTTCAGTGTGTGTTTCTTTATTTTAAATGGTCCTTCAGTGGTCCACAATTAGGTCTGTCTAAGTTGAACCTCTCTATATTCATTTGTTGCATGTACCATTTTCCAGATACTGATCACTTTCAAAGTCAAGAAACGTGATTCTGCTCCCAATCTCTGGCCACTGTTTTAAATGTTATTTCTGAAGGACTGTCTAAGATGTAAGCATACTCAGAAGGGAGCATGAGACTGAGCATGGTGATATATGCCTGTAATTTCAGCAGAAGTATAGCAAGTTTAAGGCCAGCCTGGGATACATGTGGAGAGACTTTCTCCCAAAACAAACAAACTTCCTACCTACTTACCTAGCAGGGAGAATACACCCAGTAAAGACATGAGACAATGGGTAGAGAAGGGTGAAGAAGAAAGTGCCTTTAAGTAAGAGTTGGTGTTGTGGGAAGACCACTGCTCAAAACAAACAAACAAACAAAAAAAAAACAGAAACAGAACAGAAGGTTAATGCACAGAGAATTTGGGACACAGCAGTTAGTTCAGGGTCAGAAAGAAGACGGGGCTAGAGGAGAAAGTGAAAAGATTCTTTTAAGTACTTTATCCGGAGTGCCATTTAAGATTTACAAGTGAAGATGTGTCTTTGACGTGTGTGTGTGTGTGTGTGTGTGTGTGTGTGTGTGTGTGTGTGTGTGTGTGTGTGTGTGTGTTTGGAAGAACCCAGAGCCTCACATCTTTTAGGCAGATATTTTACCACTTGAGCCATGCTCCCAGCTCTGTTCTGCTTTTAGTTAATTTTTTGATAGGATCTCATGCTTTTGCTTGGGGCCAGCCTCAGACTGATAGCTGCCTATGCATGGGTCTGCATAGCTGGAAACAAGTGTGATAACCATGCCCACTTTATTAATTTATATAGGGAAGGTTTTCCTAACTTTTTGTCCCATGTGGCCTCCAACTGAGATCCCCTTAATCTCCACCTCCCAAATGGCTGGGATTATAAGCATGAGCCACCTTGCTTGACTGTTTTATAAAACACACTTGGCCACAATGTAGGTTGTCCCAGAGACAACCAAGACCCATACAGGAAAGGCTATTTCTGGAACCTGGGATGGACACCAGAGGAGGGGCTAAATGGAAGGAATAAAGTGCAAAGGAGCAAGAAAGGCTGAAACAAAATATGGATATGGCAGAGTAGTCTTTGGGAAAGTAGGTGAAGAGAGACATGGAGAAAGCAATGCAGTAAGACAGTTGGGGACACAGAGGGATGACTTCTTCATAGACATTTTGGGCTTTTGTGGTGAGTCTTCTAGGCAAGTGACTAGGTGAATCTGGAGTAAAGAAAGAGGATTAGCATTCAAATATAAATTGATGACAGAAAATTAAAAAGTAATTGATGCCAGAAATTTGGGTAAGGTCACCTGAGGAGAGAATGCAGAATAGAAAGAGCAGGTAGGGCCATGGTGAATCCAGGAACTGAAGAGGAGTACAGCCTTCAGTGGGAGACATTTTGAGGATTGGGCATAGAGAAATGAGCAGGCTGGGCCATAGCATTTACAGGATGTGGGGTAAAAAGTGCACTTAGGTTTAGCAACAAAAAGTTGTGAACCTGACCAGAGCAGCATCAGAGGAACAACAAGTCCAGCAATCTGCAGCTTCCCAGACTAGAGAAGTATGATTCAAAACTTGTGGAAGATATAAGAAGAAGGGAACCTCTTAAGGAGTTTTTCAAGGGTACAGGTAACCCAATACATAATCTTAAAGATTATATAGTCCAGTGGTCATTTCATTTATGAAGGGGAAAGTCTGCAGTGGTTAAATGACTGTTCAAGTACCAATATCAGTATGTTTTGAGCTTTACAGCTTAGGTGAGGGGAGAAGCTCAGAGCATGGGGTTAGGGTATGATCCAGGTTTGATCCTCTTCCAGCTGAATGAGCAGGGCCAAATTGCCTAACCTCACTTTCTTTGTCTTTAAAATGGATATCTTTAAGGTCGGAGGTGAAGATTTGACAAATTGTAAAGCATTCAAAATAATATCCCACACAAAGAAAAAACAGGTAAACATTTGCAGTGATTGCATTGCTATACATACACATATGCAG